CTTCATGTTTTGACTACTGCTATGACCAGCTGCAAAGCTGGTGAGAGAGACGTCTTGGTTGACGTTTCTGTGTAGTATGGGGCTAGCCCAACCGAGGGGATATAATGTATAGGCCAGGTGGGTTCAGGGTCTTTCATCTTACATCTGCATGCGTGCAGTTTGGAGGTGCAAGATACCTGAGTGTGTAATGTTAATTTTTGCCTGTGTTCATGGAATAAATCAGCACTGTTTTGTAGTTACTTGGACTGTCTCGTCTCTCAGAGTCAGTATGGTAAAAAGTACCGGGTACAACAGAAGGCTCACACATAACTCAGAGTGAACAGAGAGATGAGCTGCCATTTACAGTGAGGTGGAGTAGAGAGGTGACCATGTGGTGAAAAAGATAATAATGAGGCTAAATAAGAAGCGAAGATATCAAAAGAGAGATGTCAGATGCAGTTGGTTTGCCAAAATCAACAGTTGGCTACATACTAAATAAGCAGGCATGCACAGGAAAACTAGAAAATGGCAAACAACCTTGTAGACCAAGGAGACGCAAGCCTTGTGACTGGGTGTGTGAGGTACTGGTTAGACAATGAAATACAATACAGGACAGTGTGAGTAATGGATCCATGAGTTTCAAGCATAGGTGTCTTTAGACAAAGCAGGAGAAGCATCTGCAGGAGAGTTTTGTGAAAACACATGGTGATTCAGCCACTTGACTGCTTATGTACCCTTTTTGCTTTAGTGATATGCTATCATGACAAACCGCTCTAAGATTACAAGCTACTGTACCAGTTCTGAAAATTTGTCAGTTCACATTTGTACCCAGGCACAGCACAGAGAGTACAAGGCTTCATTCCAAGAGCTGACCTCACCTCCTGCTTTTGCCAATAACAGCCTCCTCTCACACCAATACAAGTAGTATCCACCACTATGGCAGCTCCGACACACTGCTGCTCACACTTTGTCAGCGTTATTAACACTCTGTTTTCACACTGTGTGGGAATATTAATGTGAAACTTGCTATGAAACACTACATGCAATATCAGGTACTGGCAGGTTAGACATCCACTGTCAAACTTTTAGTGTCACTGCACATTTCAGAATTCCATTTCTGTAATATCCTCTTTGAGACTGACCTTTATTCACATTTCATTTGCATTTCACATGTAAAAAAAATTATTTACTATGAGCACAATACTGTCATCAAACACACAATGGTTTTTTAAAGAACCACGCACTTCTTTGGCTGCTAACAACACTGCATCACATTAGTCACCAGCCACTCAGGGGGGAGAGATAGGTAAAGACAAAAACAGATAGTGGTTATGTAAGCAGCTGCACGTTTTCACTATCAGTTTAAACAACAGATCATGTGGAACTCAGACTGCAACCGATCAATGCACGAGTTAACTTTGCCGTGGTTTAAAGCATCTCATTCTAAAGGAACACTCAAGAGGTCAACTATCTTTCCATCTCACCTAGAGTGACTGCAGGTGATTTAACCTAGCTTAACTAAGGCTGTAGTGGAGCCTGACTGATACAGGATTTTTAAGGTTGATGCTGAATTTGATATCTGAGGGGTATCAACAATAAAAACATCCAATGACAATATATCAACCGCCATTATTTTTTTTCTACTGAAATGTGTAAATATTTTTGAGAAGGATGCTTCATGCAAAGTATCTCAACTACCATCTTCAGGTCTCTCTACAGGATTTAAGTCTGGACTTTGGCTGGGCACCTCTAGGATAGTCAGAGGCTTGTCCTGAAACCACTCCAGTGTCATCTTGGCTGTGTGCTTTAGGTCACTGTCGTGCTGGAAGGTGACTGTGGCTCCAGTCTTCAGGTCTCAGCACTCTGGAGCAGGGTTTCTTTAAGGACCTTTCTGTATTTGACCTCGTTCATCCTTCCCTCAGTTCTGACCAGT